TTCTACTTCCCCCCCCCCCGCCCCCTCCTACACTGGACAGGCAGCTGCCTGTCAGATGTAGGAGAGGAGGTGGGAGGCTTACAGCCGTCGGGGAGGTTTGCTCAGCAGGATTGCCTTAGCACTGCTGCTGGCCCAGCCTCCCCAATGCCTTTAAACACAATCCCCCCATTACACCACACAGGCGGGTGTTTGTCAGGTGTAGGAGCAGGGCCAGGGTACTTTAATCATCAGGGATGCCGTCCCAGCAGGATCACCTTAACAATGCTGCTGGCCCAGCCTCACCAATGGCTCTAGCCATACTCCCACCCACTATGGAAGTAGACCCCAAATTTGTAGAAAAGTGGTTTCCTTTATTTGGTTATTTAACTTCTTACAATGTGGGTTCTAGAAAATTGGTTCATATGAATTTGCCTAATTTCTGATTGTATGTAGTTGTGAGTATGTAGTTGTGTTCCACTTCTTAAATGTAGCATACATGAGAAGCATTTTTGTAAAAAAAAAGAAAGGGGGGGAGGTATGCCCCCCCCGAATTCAATGCCCAGGCCGAACCCCTGCACCAAGAAACCCAAAAAAAGGGGAGTGCATTCCTACCATGACGTCAAACCCCCCCATGGAGAGATTTCTGAGAAACATGACCCCTAAGGGGGTAAAAAAGGGGCAAAACGTGTTTCCCCAATTGTTTTCCATGTGCCTGGCAGGCTGCTTCCTCCTTGCCCCGCCCCCCGCCCCCCGATTGGTCAACTGTGTAGTTCAGAGTTCTGAGGTAAAACCTGCCTACTTGCGCCCATCTCCCTCTGATTGCTCAGCTGTGGATCTCAATGTTCTGAGGTAAAAACACAGTTAGAAGAGATTGCAGACAGTTGAGAACAGATGTAGAAATCAGCGATTCAAGACTCCTGAATAGACATTTTTCAAAAAAGCCAGCATAGCAATTGAGTTAATGAATGTTCATGGGGAGATAGTAAAGGACATTTCTAGGAGCTATTTTGATGCGTGCCTCCCTCATGAACCTGAAGAAATGTCCACCACATCACCACTCCCTCACACCAACTCCCCCTCACACCTCTGACTGCCCCCAAGAAAGCTCCTGGCAAATGTCAAGCCAGATACACCAACGTTACAAGGAGGAGGCAACTTAGGAATGCTGCAAAGACATTTGCACTAGTACTCCTATGGTGCACTAAGCTGCACAGGCCCAGTACCTGCAAGATCACCCTGAGGTGCTCAGAACAGCACAGTCTCCATATCAGCAAAACAATCCAGGAACACAAATAGAAGAGAAGAAGAGATTGGATTTATACCCCGCCCTTCACTACCGAAAGGTGCCTCAGAGTGGCTTACAAACTCCTTTCCCTTCCCCTCCCCACAACAGACACCCTGTGAGGTGGGTGGGGCTGAGAGAGCTCTTGACAGAAACTGCTCTTTTTCAAGAACAGCTCCTTATCAGAGCTACGGCTTGCCCAAGGCCATCCAGCCAGGTGCAAGTGGAGGAGTGGGGAATCAAACCCGGTTCTCCCAGATTAGAGTCCGCACACTTAACCACTACACCATCACTTTCATGGAAGGTGGCAGGAGTTGACTTAACAGACGACTGCTTCTTAAATGGACAGTTCTATGTGGCCTGCTCCAGAGTGAGCTCACCAAGCAGCCTGGTGATCCTAGCACCTGAGGGCAGAACCACTAATGTGGTCTACAGAGAGGTCCTTAAGTAGAGGAAGAAAAAAGTACATATGTCTCACTTCATTTCTTACACTACAATCTTCTCCATTAGGATTCCTACAACAAAGTAACGTTTCAAACTTCACATCATCAGTATTATAACTGGATTTACGGAACTTAAATACCGTAGCGAAGCACGGGTATCAGGCTAGTGACATATAAAATGAATGCTGTGCACAGATAGACAGCAGTTAATCCCCCCACACACACTAATTTCTGGTGTAGAACCCAAGTTGGAAGGCAAGGATAACTTTGGTTAACCCACTTATCTACATTCATACATCATGGTTACCTGAAATTAGTTTCTAGTCAGGATTCTCCTCAAGAGAAGGATGACAGAGGAGCAACAAATGTACATGGAGCATAGCAACAAATTGGGTTTGTGCGCATATCAGCTTAACATCAAGTTAAAGTGATATTTGAATGCAGTCAACCAACTAAGACCATCCAATGAAAGTGACTGGCAGTAGTTTTAGGACAGACAAAGAAGTACTTCTTTACAAAATGCATAATTAATTCATGGACTTCCCTGTCATAGGATGCTTAGATAGCTTTGAAAGGAGATTGGATTCTTGGAGGATAAGTCTATGAGCAGCTGTTGGCCAAGATAGCTAAATAACTGCCAAGTATAAAGGCTGTATTTCACTGAATACAAGGTTGAGGGACAACAGTGGGAACAGCAACTGCCTTTATGATCTGATGCTCAACTTCTGAAAAGCATCTGGCTGGCTAGAAAGCATTCTATTTGTGCTGGAAAATGAATGCTAGATATTTGGTCTGATCCAACAGGGCTCTCCTAATCTCGAGTAGTTCACAGTAGCTTTCTTCAGGTTATTTAGAACAAATCAAGGTCACTGAAAGGTAAAATGACTGCTAGTGTCCTTAAACAAATTCCAATGAGAAAAAGTTATTTCTTTAAAGTTCTCATTATTTAAATATTTGTACAATTACCATGGCTCTTCAAAACATCCCCAGAGTTAATTTCATATATTGTTCCAGTGGATTTATACCCCCCCGAAAGTGATAATTTGAGTTTGTCACAGAATTCTTTAAAAAGAAGAAGAGGAGGAGGAGGAGGAGCATAGCACTTACATCACACAAGGAACCGTAACGTAAAGTTGACAATAAGGAATGGACATGACTCTCACTAGTGAAGTACAATCTTGTTCGAACATGACGCTCAGGAGACATTACTCCACTGGAGTACCTGTGAGCAAAACCAGACAAAGAAGTTTAAGAGAAATGAAAACATACCTAACGCTCTATGGACATAACAGAACAAGCCTTTGTATCACAATTTAAAATGAGCTCATCTTTCTTAGGGTTACATTCTGCTGAATTTCATTAGGTCCTTCAGTGTCATGACTTCCTTGGTACTAAGAAACTCGAAAGCCCTGGAAAAGTATAGTTCCTAGCAATTCTGGTACTTGGAGTGTTATTTCTGAAGCATTCAACATTCAATAAGCATTCCAAACCTAATTAAAGCTACCACAGCAGTCTTAAAGGAAAGGTGGCATGCAATAGGGGTAGAAAAGCAGCCAGGCTTCATTATGTTTTCCGAGAAGGAGACTCTGGGGTGGATGGGGAAGAGAAAACCTTGACTACTCTTCATGCTCTTAATGACATCATTAGGGATACAATGAGACGTGGCCACTGGAATGAACCAGAGCTTAAACATGGACTTGCCCACTCTGAATCAAGCCTAAATTAACTGTTTTTAAGTAGGCCCATTCCAAACTGAGCTCAAGAAAACTCACCTGTCACCTCATGTAAGTATATAATATCAGTCATCACCAATGGCAACTTGTCCAATTTTTTTTAAAAAAAACTTACAAAGGGTGAAGCTTGTTTACGGTATCATCATCTTGAGTTCTTTGAAGATCAGACCGGATTTTCCTCAGTAAAGGAGTGCAGTAACCTTTTGCAACCTCTAGTTTCTCAGCTTCACTAATACCATATTCCTTGATGGGGGGGAAACATATTTTTTTGAAAAACACAACTGCAATGAAAATTGAAGCCAACTCTTAATTCAGGATTCAAACATTACTGTTTTGAATAGATTCTGTCCTGTTACTCTGCTCAGCTAAGAGTGACATATTCTGTCAGCACAAACAACATCCTACTGGTAGAGGAGCCCCTTGCATCAGTAGAATAAGCCCTGTGCCACTGGAACATACTGTCCTTAGCTGTGCGGTATGGTTACGATACAACCTTATGTATACAACATATATTTCACACATGTAACAAGTCAAAGCATTCAGAAGTTCATGGCTCACTAATTGCTGTAAGGGTGTGGATTTACAGGAAGCTTTTCACAAGACCGCAGTAGTAAAAGCTCATAAATCTAAACAGACATTGAAGATATTGCCTTTTCTCAGATCAGCAGGGAAGCATACCTAATTTTTAACCTAAAACACATTAATAGTGATTTGTTTGAGACATAATGCTGTTTAACAAAATCACTTAATGGGGGGGGGGAACAATGAAATGAGCACTCAATTTTGAATTAGTCAAGTATCAATGACTGGATTTAATGACAGAGGAGAGAAGAACAGCACTGCTATCAACATACAAGCACCTCTACTGCCATGTGCCTATGCTTGGGTATGACATCAAAACTCAAGCATTAACACTTAAATCACACGTTTCAAGTGGCATTTTCCAGCTCATCATAGTTGAAAATAGATAACCAATTTGGTGTAGCGGTTAAGAGCAGTGGACTCTAATCTGGAGAACCGGGTTTGATTCCCCACTTCTTCACTTGAAGCCAGCTGGGTGACCTTGGGCCAGTCACAGTTCTTTCAGAGCTCTCTCAGCCCCTTAAAATAAACAAATCTAGATCACCACTAGAATAATGCTAACAGCTAGAACTTGCAGCTGCTAGATAATCTTCAGATCTCCTGTCTATTCTATACACAATGCCATACGATAATTATTAATTATTATTATAGCTGAAAATTATATTGGATTCTGGTAGTGGTCAGATCCAGACATTCTTAATTTTTCAAGGCCATGAAACTGCACACAAAGCAAAGGCTGCCTGGAATGGCAGACAGAACTCTGTAGCACCAACAAAGAAACTCTAAAGTATCCACTTTATAAATAGCAACAGGAAAGCCTTTTTTGTATCTCAGACTGTACTGCTGGATCAGGCATGCTAATTATTATAACTAGGTATCATGTAAATAAAAGGTTAACAACCATTCTTATTGTTTCCTACTATTTTGAAAACTTGAGTAAGTTATGTAACCTGAAAATAACAAGTAAAATAAAGTGCATTTTATGATTCCAATGACTGCACTTATGCTCCCCTATTTAATTTATCAACAAACAGCAACATGAGATACTATGCTTCAAAAATATTGAAAGGGCCACTTTCTTCCATATCAATCTGGCCACCAACTCATATAATCTTTGAGGACCCTGGTCTGCATGACACCTCTGTCTGAAACCAGAAGGGTGTCCATAAGAGACAGGCCTCTTTCTGTTATTGTGTGTAGGATGGTTCCATTGCGGGGTGGGGGGGTCCTGCCAGGGATGGGGGCTGTTGCAATGGTATTCCCTGTGGAGCTGGGGTTTGGTCATTGTAGATTCCTCAGGGTAACTGGATTCCCCCATTCCCTATGAATACTGAAAAGCAAAGCTTTTACTGTAGTATACTATTAATATAGATTCAGGTGGCTAGCTGTGTTGGTCTGAAGCAGCAGAACAAAGTTTGAGTCCAGTGGTACCTTTACAGCTAAGATTTTTTTTTAATTCAAGATATAAGCTTTCATGTGCATGCATTGCATCTGAAGAAGTGTGCGTGTACACAAAAGCTTATACCTTGAATAAAACTTTGTTGGTCTTAAAGGTGCTACTGGACTCAAACTTTGTTTTGATACTATTAATATGCTACTTTTGTTTCATTGCTCTTTTAATTATGTTATGCACTATTCATATGCTGGTTTTAAAAATACCACTCCTGGTTTCTCATTGCTGGCTTTATTATTATTGAATTGTTTTGACATTTGTTGTAAATAAATAATTGAATTGGACTGCATTATCCTTCAGTAGAAGGAACATGGATTTTTGCTGCATAAGCCTGTCTCTAATAATCCCTTATGTCTCCTGGAAAGTTGATTCCTGTAGATGTGAGGAATGCAGTGAGCAAAGGGAAGGGGGTACAATTGCTTCCCTCCAAACTTGTACAATAGCATCTCCACTGAAGGAAGAGGAAGAACAGGCAGTATTTCACCCTTCACCCTCCTTATTCACTCTCCTGACCTGCCAGGCTACAAGTCCATGTGAATCCTACAATCCTAAGAATCAACTTTCTGGAGGCTGTAAGAAACTGTTGGAAAGAAGGGAATGCACCAAAAATCTTTATCTGCCAGCATCTTCTGCAGAGAGATTAGTGGATCCAGCATGACAAATAAATAAATTGGATTTGAAGCAGTTAGCCTACTAATATTTACCACAGTGTTTAGTAAGCATAGTAATACACATAAGACGTTACTGGTGCAAGATAGAGGCATAACATAGCTGGCAAAGTACATACCTGTGGTATCACAATATCAGCCAAATCTTTTGACAGCCTGTACAGTTCCATTGTATTCTCTAGTTTCAAAGAGACATTATGCTGGACATCATATTTTATACAGTCATAGATATCTGGGATTTTACTAATATCATATCTTCCATTCTTTGTTTTGAAGTCCTTTTCAAGCTTGGCCCATCTACGCAGCATTAGCTCCAGGGTTTCACTGTGGTAAAGCTGAATATCTAAACAGGCAAACAATACCCTTATTACAGATTAATTAATGAACAAACTTAACCAACTAACCTGAAATGAAATAAAGTGGATTTAAAAGAAATATACATTCTGAGAGCTTCTATGCTTACTCTACCATTTCACATGCTTGTTTTCCATGTTGCTGCTTCTCAGTCTTACTAGTCTATTGATTAGGAGTATAATTACTTCTGCGGCAAAATTAATCACTCAAACATGCTGTAGTTCAGGAAGCAAAATTCAAATTATTCTTAGGCTAACTGAATTTCAAAGGTTTATTCAGATAACCCCCATTTTCTCTATAGGCCAAGCTTCCTCTTTCTAACTTCCAACAGCCTGTTTGCTAAGGAATCTGTGAACATGAAAGTTCCTTTATTTGTCACTCCCAACATAGGCTCAAAGTCCTTCCTCAGTTAAATGTCATGTTAACCTCTTTGAGTATTCTCAGTTATATTAAAATACTTCCTTCCACCTTGCCCACATGTTAGGGGTCCTCCAAAGTTGTTAGGGGTCCTCCAAAGTTAAGAACATCCTTAACCTTTATTTACATGAAGATTCAAAATCAGACATCTTGACTTCCAGTTTCCTATAGGCATCTTTGTTCTGGGGGAAAAGGGAGCAGGTTCCATCATGAAATGGCTTGAACAATAAGGCTGTAACTAAAAGCACATCTGTGTTCTGGTTTGTGTTTAAGATTTGGTCCCATTCAGTGTGAAAATGCTTAATTTTATTACTTGAATGCCTTTTAAAATTTTTCTGTCTATTTTGATTTCTTTTTATAATAAATCAAAGTCTACTTTCGCATTGTAAGTTTGTTTTTTTGTTAATATTCTGCCTACCTATATCTATATGCCTAATTCCCAACTGTGCCCCCAATGTGCGGATATCTAAATCTGCAGATAGGAGGCACACTCTCCTTATACAGGCCTTTCTGCAAACTTGGGCAACCCTCTAGGTTTGCTGAAAAATCTGAAAAGTTAAAAAAACACAAAACCATGGGGGGGGGGGGGAAATTGCCCCTGAAAAAAAAAGAAACCTCAGCGAGCCCACCTGGAGCAGCTCTGAGTGAGCCGCCAAGAACCGGGGGTGGGGAGACCCTTGACGTGCCTGCTCGAAGAATAAGGAAGCCTTGGCAGATCCATTCAGTGGACACCGGGAACTGCTTGAGGACTGGCCACCACCAGGGCAGAAGCAGGGAGCTGCGTAGGGCTCAGCTGCCACCACGGTGCACACTGGGAGCCACTCAGGACCCAGTCTCGGCAGCAGGGGACACCGGGATCTACTTGGGGCCTGGCTGCCATGGCGGCAGATGAAGGGAGCTGCTTGGGGCCCGGCCACCACAATGCATGCTGGGAGCTATTTGCGGTTTGGAGTGGCTCCCAGACACTGCCATGGGGAGGCCCCAAGATTAGTGCTAGGGCCTGGATATGGGGGGGGGAGATGGGATTCTCCTCTGTGAGTATTCGAGTGCCAAGGGTGAGAGGTAGGTGGGAAGACAGCAAGGGTTGGGGGCAAGTGAATGCCACAGGTGGAGGTAGATATGGGGGTAGGTGGGAGAGCAGCAAGGCTGGGGGTGAGTGGAGTGCTAAGGGTGGTGGTGGGGAGAGCTGCAAAGGTGAGGATGAGTGAAGAACCAAGGTTGGGTGGTAGGTGGGGAGAGCAGCAAGGGTTAAGTAGACTGGTAGAGAAAATGTGGGGGAGCAAAAGGGATGAGGGGTAGATTGACAAATAAGGGGAATGGGAGAAAGGCGTGAAATGGGGGCAGGTCGACAGATAAAAGGAATGAGAGAAAGGGGGAAAATGGAGCATAGGTTATCACAGAAGGAGGGTAGATTGACAGAGAAGGGATGGGAACAAAAGAGATGATGGTAGGTAGACAAATAAGGGAAAGGGCAGAAAGAGGGGAAGATTGATAAAGAGGAAGAGGGAAGCAAGCAAAGATGGGGAAGGGATTCACCGTCTCTGCAAGTTTCTTGTGGGTACCCACTTGTCATACTCTATTCATGTTATCAGGTTACTCCCCAGATAATATTGGGGTTCTTTGTGACATTAATTACAGAATAAACAGGAGTACTTTACAGCGTAGTGAACAACTGTGATGATGGCAACATCAATGGTTTTACAGGTTTGACCAAGGAACAGGCGAGGAGAAGAGCTCTGTATATACACAGTAGTCTGATCTCTACACACATGATCTCCTTGCTGAATTCTTTGATAACAGCCTTTCACTCTGCCACACTAAGGGCTGAACTTCACATTTTTTTAATGAGTCGGGTCTTAGTTCCCTGTCCCTGACTCAGTTTCACTGCACCCATACAGCAATTTTCGGGAACTGTTTTTTAAAGGACTGCAGGAGACCAATTCAGCTCAAGACTGCAGACTGGTGGATGGAGAGGCTCCTGCTCCTGCCTTCCCCCCCCACCACCACCATTTTTCCAAGCTGAAAGGAGGAAGTTATTTGCCCCATTTTGGAGCTATATGTGCATGTGCAACTCCAAAATGGGGCAAATAACTCTTCCCTGGAGATGTTTCAGCTCAGCAAAACGGCAAAGGGGAGAAAGCAGGACCCCTCCTCCTCCCACCATGCCCCAGTCCTGAGCTGAATTGAGCCTCTTCAGGCCTTTAAAAGGCAATTCCCTGTAGCTACTGTGTGACTGCAGGGAAAATAAATCAGGTACAAGGAACCCAGACATGTCTCATTAAAAAAACTGTATACGTAGCTTGACTCTAAGGAACTCTCAGGAATAAGCAAGTCATGCCACACAGATGGCGAAATACAATAGACTGGAAAAGCTGAATCACAAGAGGAACTTGGATTTTAGTTTCTTGAAAAGGAGTTCTCCATGTCACATTTAAAACCTGCTTGAAGACCAGGGACCTTTTTACAGTTTTTAATAGGGTATCAGGATCTCTAATTCAAAGGGGGGGGGGACTTTTGAACATATCGAAAATGTCTTTCTGCATCCTGCTTGCTGAATTTGATATTAATTTCAACCAGTTTTCCCATAAGGAAACACTGTGTTCTAAAGCTAAACAGTTAATTCAGAAATATTATTTATAGTCGTTCAGTTCTACTGGCTTATATATTACCTACTCAAAATCCTTTAATCTGTCTAAAATCATAAATGACCATGTTACATGATTAATGAGTGATAATGTCAGTACTGGTGATGAGTATAAACATTATAGTGTATTTAAACAGTCTACCTGCAGACTTAGGATCTTCCATCCGTTGCCTTATCTGAGAAGTCAAACTCTGAATTAAGGAATACACCTTGTCACACGTCTTAACAGGATTTTTAATATCTTGCATTGATTTTATCAGAGAAATGTTGCCAGATGGTGCAAGCTGAATTACCAGACCAAAACATAAAAGAACTTTGTTAAACATCATAGCTATCTGATCTTGTGTTGTCATTAAAAACTGCTCACTGAACACAAGCAGAGTATTAACATACCATTTGAATCACAACATACATTGCTAATTTAACGACCAATGAAGCATTCGTGACTCTTGAACACTTTGAATACAGTTCAAGAGAGTACCTAATTCTATTTAGAATAATTAATTTGGTATTTTTCTCAACCATATGTAATAAGAACAATTTAAGTCTAACAAAAACATATTTTTGACACAATGCCTTGGTTTACATAGAACAGCCAGCTCTAAGGATTGTACAATTCTTTTTCCTTCTGAGCTCAAGTTTCCTCACGCATTTCCTGACATGCAACCACAGCTTCCAATCTGGGTAAACAATGGTTTCTACAAACTATATTTTGCCTTTAAACCATAATTAGAAACCCATATCAAAGTTCAGTTTGCAAACACCTTTAAATAATAAACCATATATTATCCTCTCCAGATCATTTAGAAACATGGATTATAAAAATAATCGTCCCTTATTGTAAATCTATTGCTCCCATTTGTTCATAGATATACTTCAACACATATAACTACTGTTGTATATTAAGAAGTAACATATGTATATCATCATCTTTCAAAAATAAATTCAAAAAATCATTTTTGCATTTGGACCACTATATACTGTTCTTGCAGACAATCTTCTAACCTTTTCATAGTCTTCAGAAGTAAAGTCTCTATCTCTCTGGAGTATTTCATGAAGTCGTGCCTTTACACGATGCTGGCAGCTGCTAAGAGAGTCACTATCACTGTCAAGTAGACCATTCATATTAGCACTTTTAACCATCTGCACAAGGATGGGAGTGAGCTCTCCTTCCAATGCAAGCAGTCCCTGGAAATAATAAAATTAGCGAGCAGTGAATGAAAAAGTAGCAAAAAGCAAAACATAAAACACATACTTTAAATTAGTGTTTATGGGAGCTACCACTTCTAAATTCCCAATACCTCTAAAGTCTTTAGGCATAATAGCAATGAAATACTGCAAAGAGAACATACATTTTTTAAAAAATCAAATACTTTGGCCAGGATCTAAGGAAATTAGTTTTAGATCTGCCCAACAGGAATTTGTAGGTATGCATGGAGCTATGTAAGGAGGAGTTGGGGTGTGTGTGCTTAGTGTGAACTTTAATCCTCTGTGCACAACCCCTTTGCGCACAATGGCTCTGTAGACTTCAGAAAAGATAGGCTGAATTTATTATTTGAGTTGCTTAAGGCCACATGATTTATACTGGTTTGGATAATAAATGACATTAGGCAGAAACCATGTTCTACAAGTGGTTGTACTGATTGTGAATATATTATCCTGAGAAAGTCAAGAAGAACTGGAACTGGGACATATCTTAAATCACCTGCAAATGATGAGGCTGGTTTAATCCTTGATGAACCTTCCTGACCACTGCAGTGATCTTCGGGGAGCCTGCCTTGGGTACCCCTGCCTTCTGAGATCAGACAGGTGGCAACCTGGGAGAGGGCCTTCTCAGTCATGGCACCAAAGCTCTTTAACTCAGTCCCTGGGGAGAGTTGTCTGTCCACTTATTTTGCCATCTTCTACCATCAGGTGAAAACTTTCTTTCCATTTGGCATTCACTCAGTGATCCCTCCTTCCTAACCAGTGTTTTTATATTTTGTAAGTATTTTAACTGTTTAACTGTTTTAAAAATTGTTTTAATGATGTGTGTTTGGGAGGGGGATTGATTTTAAGGGTTTCATAAAGTAGTTTTATCTTGTCTGTTTTAAATGGTTATCTGCCTTGGCCATCCTCATAACAGCAGAAGGGTGGGATATAAATTTTGTTGATGATGATGATCAGGGGTCATTTGGGGCCAGAGCACGCCGGAGTGCCACTCTGGGAGCCCAGGAGCAGGCACAAATGGTGGTGGCAGCAAGCCCCGCCCCCAGCGCCCCGCCTCCAACCTCCTTCTGACTAGAGTCACGCTGCTGGTGCCTCATAGAATACAATGGAGAGATCACACCGCCACTGTGGCGCGACTCCAGAGAGAAGGGGTTCAAAGTTTAAACCCCTTCTTGCTTCGCTTCCCCCCCCCCCCAGCCTGCCTTGGTAGGCCGGCTGGAAAAGCAAAAGGGGGGGCGCATCTTCAAAAGCCTCCCCTTCCCCAGCCAGCCTGCCAAGGCGGGCTGGAGGAGCAAAGAGAAAAGGGGTTTAAACTTTAAACCCTTTCTCTATGGAGAGCACTAGGGAGCACATGCCAGTCATCCTCTTACCCTTGCCACCCAAAGGACTCCACATGGCATGGGCCCTCCCACCCCCCCAGTGCAGTTTGCCGCTCCGCTCGCCCTTGCCTCAACACGCAAAGGACTAGGACGGGACACATGCGGACCTTGAGTAAGTTGAGAGGGGCTTTCCCAACGCAGTGGAGTCACCATGCTAGAAACAGAATGAGGTGGCTTCGGCTGCAGGTAAGACAAGCGGAGCCAGATGGGGCTGAATGGACCTCCCACTTGCTTTCTTCTTAGTAGGAATAGTTACACACACACACACACACAAGTTTATCGGTTTGCTTGCTGAAGTTTGATTTATTTATTTAAAACGTTTATTAGTAGCTTTCCCCCTTTGTGGAATTCAAGGCAGCTTACTCGTTATGTTTTTGGGATGAGGTGGAGAGAGATGTGCTGGCCCCATGGGCAAAATTTCTTGTGTGAACTGGTTACAGGGTTGATTTCTTTTATAAAATTTGTTCAGCTGCGATGAAGCTGTTGGTCAGATCGGGTTACACTTCCCATGCCAGCCATGGCATTTGTATCACCTATGGCAAGCTCCAGCCCCCCCCCCCAAACATATATATTCACCTCCTTCATCGGCATTATGGGGGGGTGGGATCCAAAGCCAAGTTTGGAGCCAATTTTCTCCTTCCGCTTCGAAACCTGCACCCAAGCTGCTGGCAGTGGATCTGCCCAGAAACTACTGACACAATGCGGAGTCCCTCTTTCTGATTTGGAGAGAAATTCCCCCCTCGGCCGATCCCGGCTCTTGCCCCACGTTTCTCCCCGCCTGACTCACTCGAAAGCTGGTTGCAAGCCCGGCGACCGCAGAAATGGACTTCTGGCTGCAGAGGGAGGTTGTGGTGTTGCAAAGTGTGTATGGCTCAGTGGTAGAGAATGAGCTTTAAATGCAGAAGGTTTAAGGTTCAATGCTTGGTGTTTCCAGTTGGAAAGTCTGTGTGGTAGGTGATGTGAAAGATCTGAACCTGAGATCCTGGAGAGTTGGCTTTCAGTCAGAGTAGATCATAGCGCCTTTGACAGATCAGTAGTCTGGTTAGGTATAAGGCGGGCTCATATGTGGTGTTCTGATTTTAAGGTCTGCAGTTACTGTATTGTGTGGAGGGGATCAAGATGGGTAGTTGTGTTAGTCTGTCTGTAGCAGTAGAAAAGAGTAAGACTCCAGTAGCACCTTAAAGACTAATAGAATCATGAAAGCTCATACCCTGCCACAAATTTTTTTTAGTCTGGGCTCTACTGGATTCTTGCTCTTTTCAACTGTGTTGTGGGGAGAGGGGTCCACATGACTGATGTTTTGTGGTGTCTGCATATACAACTCCAACTGAGTTAACAAGGAGTTAGAATTGTTAGAAAGAGTAGATAATATAGCAAAAATACAGAAGGAAAATTTATTATATATCTTATAACAAGAACATTAAAGAGACTTAAATTTCAGCATCACAATTACCAGGATTTTTCAAAATGCTTTGTGATTTGTGTTTTCCTGTTTGAGAGAGAAAATCAGAGATTGTATTGCTTTTTCTCACAATTAAAAAAAGAAAAGAAATTAGCAATTTCAAATTTTGTGTTTTTCATTCTTCCTAAAATGCACTTATGTTTGGAAACTGGTGGGTTCGTGGGTTCGCCTAGTGTGCAAAAAAACCTGGCCCTGGCCCTGGCCCTGGCCCGTGGGGGGGGGAAAGCAAAGTTTAAACCCCTTCTCTCTGGAGTCGCGCCACAGCTGGGGAAGGGAAGGGGAGGCTTCTGAAGATGCCTCCCCCCCTTTTGCTTTCCCTTTTGACATCACTTCCGGTGATGTCAGGAGGCATGGTATATGCTAATGATCTATTATGCTAATAGCTTATTAGGTATGCTAATGAGCTCCTGCAGCTCTTTTTCTACGAAATGACCTCTGATGATGATGATGATGATAGTAATAATAATGATGATGATCAGGCATCAAGACTGAGCCAACACAGTTCAAACATTCTGGACAGAACTTTTGTATCACCTGAGATCCAGTTCTTTTCAGAAGAGTTCATACATCAGTGTAACTCACAATAGTCCAGATGTTATAGTGAACACATGTACAGCCTGCATGTACGTGTACACAACTGTTTGTAAGAAAGAGCCAACACATGTTTGCTTTACAAATGAAACTGTGCCTGGAAGAATGTGGGATTTCAATCACATGTTCAGCTATAACTGCATCGAGTGTAACATGAGAATTATTTAATGCATGTATAAAGAAAAATCAAATGTATACTGTACTCTGATTGTACGTGTATTCAATATAACTTGTGAACAGGGCTAATATGTTACATAATCAAGTGATCGTAAATTGAGTGATGTACATATGACTGAACTGGCAGATAAAATGTCATGCCACTAAATATATATCCTTTACATGCTATGTACAACAACCGTTATCAATTACAGACCCAAACTACACCAAAACTCACAGCAGCAGATCAACAAACAGTCAATATAAGAAAACCTATTTGTATAACTGAAAACCTACATCTTAACGTTCGTGATGAGTGACCCGTTAATTAATAATCCATAAAGTTTCTGCAGGCCAAACAATGATTATTGTGAGTCTCTTACTAGGAAGTGACACACATGAGATCTCACAGTAAGTAACAAATATAGTCAGGAGTACCCTGCACTATTGCTTTAGTACACTAGCACAAATCTGCTCATGGTTCACACTTGTATCACTGGCAAATGTTTATCTCTGTTATTTCAGTTTCTGCAAAGTATCTCCAAGAAGCCCTCCATTCCCATAAAAATAAATTCCCTATATACCCCGGCTACCAACACATTCAATATCCTTAACTCAGGGCTAAATTAAAAATGACAATGTCTTCACGGCTGCCACAAGCACAGTGTCATTGCCATTTTAAAGACATTTAAGAATGCCATGAGGGTCTGATCCTGATTGGGTCTGCAGCGTGGGCTCTTGCCCCCCTCTGTACCTATTCAAGAGCTGAAACAGCTGGAAGGGGTGGGTGTGCAGCTATTTTAGTATTAGATAAGGTGGTGGGGACGGAGGGATGCAAGCACCTCAGCCTGCTGCACTACAGGCTTGATAAGAATCAGGCCCTCACAGCATTTTAAGCTTTTTTTTTTTAAGGGTGGTGGTGTCCTCGTGGCAGCCATGAAGATGCCACCACATCTAGTCTGACCCTTAAAAGACTTCATTTTCTTTCAAAAACAGCCATATTTGGTTCCATGCTGAGCCACATTGATAACACCCCAAAGTTTCTTAAATTTACTTTATCATTTTCCATTTTAAAGATAAGTTTCTCATAGTACCTTTGCAAAAGCTGCTGCAGTCATTTGAACTCTTCCTTCATCAGAAGCATATATTTTGAGATCATGCCGATAGGTACTATGCAATCTCAGTAAACCACATCCAGGAAATCCAGCATAGTCTCCTACCAAAGGAAGAACAAAACACCTTCATAATCTGCCAGTGTTTCCTTTTTAAAAAGTTGTTCACTTTCTCTCTTCCTAAGTTATAGCTTCTTGCACTATCAATGCAAAGGAAATACGATACCTTGTCCACCTGGGTACATGCACCGGAAAGCTCTTCCTAGTTCCTCGGCTTGAACTCTGCCTGCAGGAGTCAGTTCTCCTCCCCATTTTAGAACCAAGAGTAGAGATGGCTCCTCTTTGTGGCTATCTAAATGCATACAAAAGAAATTAATGAAAAAGTAATAGGCAACCAAAATGGTGGTGGTGGGGGAACTGGTTACTTAGCTGGGACTGAGGTTCTCTGATTGGTCAACTGAACTGTCATATATATGAGTTCTGCACAGATGTAGAAGCAACACCAGAAATTTCTAAAGCTCTTGGCTAAATATTAGCACTCAAATCACCTATCCTGAAGGAGAACACCATGTCACTCCACTTGTTCTTAGTGGAGGGACATGTACCTTCCCACTCAGTTTCCTTATAACCAACACTAGAAACTCTCCCAAAAGGAAAGAATTGAGAAGCCAGCAGCAGGGAAGATGGGCAGTTTATGCAACTGTACAGATGACCACATGAAGAAAATGACTTACAGGTAAACTACTGGTTTTTCTGCACTGTGATATCTACACTGTCCCACATATGGGAGATTATCAAACTGGTTTACTTTCAGATGACAAACAGGGAAAGTGCACAGAGTAGCAGCAGATACCTCATTTCCCCTGTATCCTTTCCCACACAATTCCCTTTTTCCTTTCCCCCAGGCAGCCCCCATACTTTCTCCACTCCCCCTGCTTCCTTCCCACCAACCAATGTACCTTTTATCTCCCCTCCCCACTATAGTATTCAGCTTTATTATTTATTTACTTCATTTATACCCTGCCATTCTCCCCAAACAGAGCAGTTAACCACCACCTGCTTGAGCATCTTGACCAAGAATAGAATGTTGGCCACCAGGATATAGTTATTTAGATCATTCTGGTCCATGAACACCTTCTTCAGGAAGGGTCTCAAACATTTTAAGGTAGTTGGAACTGTAACCTCCTGTAGAAAGAGGCATTTATGGAGTCCCATAATTAGGAAGAAAGATTTTATCCAAGTTCCAAACCTAAATGTGTAAGGCAATAAATGGCAAGGAAAGGTGTGCAGTCAAAGGCTATGTTTGATCTGCTGGGCAGGTTTAGTTTTATTGTATGGTTTTGTAGCAAATATGATACAGTTTTTTTTAACAGAAGTCTAATGTTTCCTCCAATCAATGAACTTCACAGAGCAATATGGGAACGTACACTGCAAAGAGGATCTTGACTAAGCTTATCCTCAAGAGAACCTGGATAAAGCTTGTGACACACCCAGATGACAGGCTGTTTTTTGCCCTTATTCACTTGTTTCAGGATCTCTTCAGTTGGATGCAAAGAACAAAAGCTTGATCTTGGTATTAGGGGCAAGAGGTAGAACAGAGTCTTGTGTGTGATGAAGACCTACAGATATCGCCCTAGTTTGGGATGCACAGTCAACTTCATGGTGAACTATGTTCTACTTCTGTTTAACCAACTTATAACCTTTCTCCTGGGGGAATTTGTATGGTGTGTTTCTTGTCTTCTGGGAGAAGTCATAGAATTGGTGTGGTATGGAGATTTGGTCATTCATTCCACATAGGTAAGAATCTTGACCCACAGAGCCATAGCAGAATATGATGTTTGCTCTGTAATATTCAGTTTCTGTCCTCTGCTCATCTAGAGTAGGGGTGTTATTTCCCATTCATAAAGAAGTGGACAGCTCTGGAGTTGGAAAACAAGTCAGTTAAAGACATGACACAGGTCGAACCAGATATATGTTTTTGGGTCATCTGGATGTGGACAGTACCATTGACAGTTTGACCATGTATTCTTGAGCGATACCATTAAAACCACCAGAATAGAAAGAGTGACAATGGTCTCTGATTGATCCCATAGGTACATCACTGATAGCCCCTCCTTTGCAGCTCCACAGTGAGATGTTTCATCAGCGAGGCATACTGTTTGAGATTTTCAGGAACAAAGATGGGTCTTTGTTCCATAATCTCAGAGCATATCAATATCAATGTGTATGAGTCTTTATCAGAGTCAGCAACAGAGCCAAAGCACAGCATGTGAAAAAGAGGATGATGCCAGTATCTGTACAGCTTTTGATATCAAAGTGAATGGTGCTCAAAGCAGTATTGGGAATGGAATGCACAGTCAATGCAATGGAACCTTGAAGCAAAGTTAGACATATAGCAGGTGCAGCCTAACCTACCTCACAGAGTTGTGAGGACACAGTGGTAGAGAGGAGAACAGTGTTAGCTACTTTGGGTCTCCTGGAGGAGAAAGGGAGAATACAAATGAAGTAAATAAATAAATGTCGTACACAGGTCAAAGGACACTAGTGGAACAACAGAAGACCACGTCAATGTAGGCTGCACAGCAGATGCTCATAATATTGATGGAAGAGTGGACTGCGGTGCCAAGTACACCACAGTGGATATCACTGTGGGAATAGGTTTAGTGCCAAGTAGGTGGCTTTGGTGGTATCCCATCATGCCAGTGATGTGTTGGCAATGCGTCGTCTGTATATCTGTCTGTGACTGGAAGCTTACCTCCTAAAATCGGGCAATGATTAAAGAAAGGCTGTTGTATCACATGTGACCTGAGATAGGGGAAGAAGGGAAACGTGGAGAAATAGACAAAGTAAATGACCTACTATACTTTTTTGTCTAAAGCTACCAAAAGAGACAGAGACAGCTGAGGTAATTTTCTGAGTTAATAAATGCAGATCTATTAAGAGTGAAGTGATTAAAAGAAATCTGTACAGTAAAATGTTTGCTCCTCTGATAAGAGCAAGAGCTGTGGCATGGTATCTTCAGGATCTGAGCACCAATTTTTAGCCTATAGCTCTAGAACTTTCCAGAGCTGCTTCTGCACTGCTGCATTATGTGGGTTTGAAAGAGCCCAGGAAAAATTATCAGTGTCTGCTGAAAATTCAAGTGACAGAATAAACAGTTTTCACTGCTATTATTTCCTTTAGCCTAACATAACAAAATCCAATAGGCAAATCAAATTCTAATAATGGATTTGTAAACAATTGATATCACAGTACCTTCTTCTTCGCTAGATGTTTTGGGGCAACCATGAGGGAGGTATGTCATCTGAACTTTGCGATTTATGCCAGAAAAATGTCCATACCTAAGGACAGCAAATGAAAAAATGAAAGGGAACCATTAAAATGGACTTCAGATATGCTGGAAAACACATTTATATTAATTATCAGACAGGAAAACAACATGTATTAGAGAGTAGATACTGAGGCAAAGCCATAAGGAATAAAGTTTGGGGGGGGGGGGATTGTATCACCATACCATGCTGCAAATGGTCAACAGAATGTCTGAAAGCTCTGCCACCTCAAAAATTCCCTGCATATACAGAATTAGCATGCCAAGGAAAATTCAGCTTAGTCGTTTTCTTGACTTGCTATTTTCTTGTGAAGAGTTCATTTTCATAGCAGAACATTCAAACATCTGACTCTCACCTTCAGCTGAAGTAGCATAATATGGAAAAGATCCAACACAATTCTACTAAATGTATAAAGTAGCCCTGAATCAGCCCAATGTAACAGCAATTTCACACAGAGGGCTGGTGAAGACATAATGTTCCCAGTCTCTTAAGAAGCCACATATTCAAAGAGAATTCATACATTCAGCTCTCATTCTCTATTCATTCTGCCCTTTCCTTTACATAAATATTACATAAAGAAAATTAAATTAAAAGTTAAATAAAAGTCTAGGTAAACAGAAATTTAAGCTGGCACTGAAATCAACAGACACCATGACAGACACATTGCTATGAGAAGGATATTCCATTTCTAATGCATCACTTAGTGCCATTTTGCACAAAATTGTGTGACAACGGTTTAACTGTTGTATCTACATGGAGTACATTCAGCACAAATTGGCTCAAACTGGCATTGTGTTGCCTGGATTATAGAATATGTTCGCCCCAGCTACCTGGCCGGTGCCAGCTTAAAATATTTTTTATTTACCCAGGCTCTTAATTAACTTTACAGAATTTTTGCCCACCCATTTTCAACATCATTCTGACTGCCTCATAACTTCTTTCTGAGAACTGTTGTTGTATTTCTTACTTTTAATATTACATTGAAATTATGCCTTTTAATCAGTATTGATGCTTTAATTTAGTTTTTGTACTATGTTGTTACATTGCAGATTTTAAATTTTTTAAGTGTTTCTAGTACATATTATTATAATCTTGTTTAGATCATCCATTGTTGCTGTTTATGTATACTTGAACTATGTTTACCTCTTCTGGTCTTACTTTAATGATGGTTATATTACAATGGTTGTACTTTATACTATGTTTATACTTTATACTAAAGTTGTACTTTATACTGTTATAATGGTATAATTAGTATAATTATACTAGTATAAATATATATGCTAGTATAAATAGTATAGTCAGATTTTAACAACTGTTGATATGTTTAATTATTTTGTTGTATTGTATTTTCTCATATGGTTGTAAACCATGAGCCTTGCGGTGCAGGGGAGGGAGGGCTAGAAATCAAAATAAATACATAAATAATGCTCTCTTTACGATACTATTCAGGTAGAGCAGAGACTAAAAATGTAAACAAGAAATAAACAGGACTAGACTTCATGCCATATAAAGCTAACATTTTGAAAAGGCAATAGTAATTTGAAAAAGGTAGCAGCCTACTAATATCACAAACTGATTCTCAGTAACAATCCAATTGCAGAATAATGAGGCCCAACTCCCTCTCAAGACCTGCTAATATCTATGCATGTCCAGAAAGATCATCATGCTCTGTCAAGAGACTTCCAAATTAAACACTTACATTTCCAACACAGTTTTCAATTGTTCAAGTTTAGCCTTGCTTTCTTCAATTTCAGAGTCATTGTTTTGCCCAAGTTCTACTAAAAGCTGTCTTGCAATATCAAGTACTTCCTGGAAAGATTTTTTTTAAAGAGTGGTATATTGTATGAGCAGTTTATAAAGATACAGTATTTTTATGTAGAAAAACAAGAAAAACTAACAAACTTGCCTGTAATTGCTTAGGTTTTTTCAGTTTTAGCTTCCCAGACTTATATCCATTGCATTTTTCGAAAAGATCAAAAAATCTTTAAAAGAAACATGTAATTATTAGAAGGGTTGTGGATTAATCTGCCAGCTATCACTAAGCCTTGTACATGAATCTCAATTTTTATGACAGGGAAAATGGCACGAACACAATTGTCCAGCTAAGGCCATGATATGTGGCAAATTACTATCTGGAATGAACATGAATGTTCACACACACAATAACAAGTTTATGTTTGTGGCTTCTGTACAGCCTCACATGCAACCATGCTTGCACAGGCCTGCCGCTGAGATCTTTTCTTTAAAGCGCTAGAAGATTTGGAGCACTCCCCCTCCTCTGTCTTGGGCCAGCTTTTTCCTGCCCAGCTGGCACGTGATGGGGGCAGGGAGAGTGCTCCTTCCCTCAGTCCTTTCGTTGCTGCCGTTGGAAAAGACCCTGTGAGCACAGGATCTCACAGTGGGGAAAGTAGGGAGGGATGTGTGCCTGCACAGAAGACCATTTGATGAACAACAGTTACAGGTAAGTGCAACCCTGTTTTGTTCAGGTATAAAAACGGCATGTATTCAGTGATGGCCTAGGTAGAAGAGGTATTTCAACATTCACAGAGGTTTATGTTTCTTACCCATTTTTGAAAGAGCTAGCTAATATGTTATATTAACAGAGCATTCTGACTTCTGAAATATATATTGACACCAGGCATTCTGGCTTAATTATAAATGTGGAAATGGTTTGCACAGTCCAAGCTTCACGGAATAGCCTATCCTACCTGGTGAACTTTTTGGGGATTATTTGTAAAATAAAATGAATACCATCTTAAGAGATGCCATGAACTTTACATGATGCCCCTAATACTTGTCTAGACAAACACTTTGGAATGTCCACTTTTCTAAACAATGTCCTGCCACTTCTCTTCTGTTACAAGAGCTTTATATTTTTAAGGTAACCACCTATCTTACAGAAATATCTCAGACTTGCCCTTTTTTACACCCACAGCATGGAAGAAAGCACTGTCAACTTTAGGGATTTTAAGCACCATGTTATTTTGCTGTTTTTAAAATTAAGAAAACACAAACTAAAAACTCACATCCCCAAAGCAAAGAAGTAGATATGAGCAGGAAGCACAAAAAACAGCACTAGCATGTTAGGAACTGCAACAAGGGACACTGATGCAGACATTCTAAATTCTCAATTCTGACATTTTAAAAGCTACTCAAAATCTGTACAACACTACAAACTACAGTTACACAGTACACAATGATACCCTGTCTGACACTGTAGATACCCTAGGCCCCTGGCTCAAGCAAGAAATTATCTTCAGGAGAAAAATGAAGATAAACCCATTTCTCCCTTCTCCTGCTGATCACATACCGTTGATGTTTAACTTCCATTTTCATTTTTTGTTTTGGTGTCCGATCCCCATGCCGTATAACAGCAATAACACACCTGAGTTCCATCCTATAAGTATACAAACAGCATGGTTACTCTTCCCAGTTATGGGATTCCAATTAATATTAAAAATTATATAGACCAGCTAAGCGATTGGTATAAACACAGAGTTCTATAAAAACAGCTCCAGTGTATTAAATGAAAGATTTTTGTCACTTACCGTTGATCTTCCTTTCTCAGTGGTCCAGGAATGGGGCAGTCCTTTACTTCTGGGAGTCTAGCTCCTCCTTTTCAAGGGCAGGGTTGCTATCTTTGTGATTTCTGAAGGAGAGGGGCTTATCTCCTAGAACTCCAGTCTGTTGACAAGCCTCGATTCTCTGTCTTTTAAGAACAGCAACAACTCGAACAGAGAAACTACACTAGGAAGGAAAAACCCTAACTAATAATGACAAACGTTCAAACCACGAGAGAACCAAACAACCTCCCCACTTAAGGACAGGGTTGGAAGAAGAAACTAGTTACTTCCTAACTCCCTTCCAACAAAAAAGGGCACCAGGTTGACCAGGACACAGTGCCTGTAGGACTAGTAACTGAACAGCTGACCTCATCGGCACTAGGAGTCATCTCCAGAGAAAACATTGGGTGGGAAGGACTGCCCCATTCCTGGACCACCGAGCAAGGAAGATTCATGGTGAGTGAGAAAAATCTTCTGTTCTCCAGTGGTCTGGAATGGGGCACTCCTTTACTTCTGGGACATAAAAAAGCAGTATGCCCCAGGGAGGGACCGGCTCCTAGTCCTGAAGGGTGTGCTGTAGGACCTTCCTGCCAAAGGCTACCTCAGCAGAAGCCACCCTGTCTATCCTGTAATACCTGGTGAAGGAATTGACTGATCTCCAAGTGGCAGCCTTACAAGTGAACTCCAAGGAGGGGAAGAAGAGATTGGATTTATACCCTGCTGTTTACTACCCGAAAGAGTATCAGAGCAGCTTACAATCTACTTTCCCTTCCCCTCTCCACATCCTGTGAGGTAGGTGGGTCTGAGAGAGCCCTTTTGAGAACTGCTCGTGAGAGAACAGCTCTGAAAGGACATATAACTGACCCAAGAGCACACCAGCAGCTGCCTGTGGAGAAGTGGGGAATCAAACCTGGTTCTCCCAGATTTGAGTCAGCACTCCTAACCACTACACCAAACTGGTTCTCCAAGGCTCTGTAAGCTGCTGAAGTGGCTGCCCCTTGGAGGGAGTGAGCTGCGAACCCCTGGGGTGAGTCCACACCGGAGGCCTGGTTAGGCCAACATGATGCACCCCCTAATCCACCTGCTGATGGAGGACGTGGAGACCTTTTGTCCCATGGAGGATTTCCTGAAAGAGACAAACATAGAGTCAGTCTTTCTAAAGGAACTCGTTCTATCCAAGTAGAAACTCAATGCCCTCTTAACATCCAGACAGTGCCATTCCCTCTCTCTGGGATGAATGGGGTCTGGGCAAAAGGAAGGCAGAACCACCTCCTCTGCCCTGTGAAAGGTGGAATTCACTTTGGGCATAAAGGCTGGGTCTGGGGACAGTATGACCCAGTCCTTATGAAAAATACATAAATCCTTGTGCTCTGAGAACACATTGAGCTTGGATACCCTCCTGGCTGACGTGAAGCCCACAAGGAAGAGGGTCGAAGTCAGCTCCTTTAGGAGGCAGGTGCCTTAAGAACCAAATTCAGGCTACAGGTGGTCAGCTCCTTTAGGAGGCAGGTGGACATGGGCTCCAAGGGAGCCCTAGACAGGGCCTTAAGAACCAAATTCAGGCTACAGGTTGGGAAACGGTGAACCTGCAGAGGATTGAGCAGGGAAGTTCCCCTGAGAAATCTCTTTACATGGGCATACTGGACTAGGGAGACCCCTTTCCTAACCCCTCTGACCACTGCAAAAGTGGTGACCTGTCTCCTAAGGATACTGGTGCTGAGCCCTTTATCAAGCCCCTCCTGCAAAAAGGAGAGGATCTCACTAACTGAGGCTGGAAAAAGATTCTAAACCCTGCTCCTGACAGCAGGCCTGAAACATCTGTCACATGCAATTACAGACCCTGCTAGTGGAACCTCACCTAGAAGCTAACATGGTGGAAACCACTCCCTCTGAGTACCCTATCTTTGTGAGGAGTGACAGCTCAACCTCCAAGCTGTGAGGTTTATCATTCCTGGCTGTGGATGTTGCATGCTCCCCTGTAGAAGAAGGAGGTCCTCCCTCAGTGGAAGCCTCCAGGAGTTCTGGGAAGACAGCCTGAGATCCTGAAACCAAGGCTTCTGCGGCCAGAAAGTCACCACTAGAACCACTTCCACCCCTAGATCGATTATCCTTGGCATCAGTCTTTGTACCAGCTGAATCGGGGGGTACATGTATAGCAGCTGATTTGGCCAGTCCCAGCTGAGGGTATCAACTCCGATGGCCTGAGCTCATTTTGCCCTTGTCACAAACTTTGGAAGTTGGCAGTTCTGCTCTATGGTGAAGAGATTCACTTTTGGTCTTCCGAACCTTAGGCAAATCTGATGGAATACTGCTTTGTTCAACATCCACTCTGACTGATCTAGAGTCTGCCAACGAAGCCAGTCTGCCAGGAAGTTGTCCTGCTACGTGCACTGCTTTGACTGACTCCAGATGAACTTCCACCCACTGAAATAGGAACTGCGCCTCCTGATGAAGAGACCGGTGCCTGGTGCCACCTTGCCCATTTATATAGGCCTTGGTCATCATGTTGTCTGTGTGCACTATGATGCTGACCTCAGAGGAGATCCTGGAAGGCCAGGAGACCAAACCTTATCACCCTCAGTTCCAATATGTTTATGCTCAGAAGGGACTCACCCAGGGACCAGACCCCCTGAGCCATCCTTCCCTGTGCATGTGCTCCCCCAACCAGTGAGGCTGGCAACTGTGGTCATCCTGACTCTCCATGGTTCCCTGAGGGGACTCCCTTCCAGGAACCTTGAGGGCATCAATCACCAATTGAACTCCTGATGGAGAGAGCCGGTGAGCTGAAGGAGTTTGGACTGTTGGCTGGCAATCAAATCCTGAAAAGGAAGCAAGAACCCCTGCAGGGGACGGGCATGGAACTTGGCCCACTGGAGCACTTCCTGTCAGGATACCATCATCCCAAGGAGCCTTGCTAACAGCATCAGGTCCACCCTGGGGCTCTTGATCACCTGTTGAAGCATCAAATACAGTTTCTGCTGTTTTCCTGGGGACTGGAAGATTCTGTCTTGAACTGTGTCTATTTGAATACTGAGGTGCAAGATTGACTGTGTCGGGATCAGATTGTTCTTCTCCATATTTATCAAAAACCTGTGTTCCTGGAGGCGGGAAACCATCCGGTTCACATTCCTCCTCCCCTGCTGGAAAGATGGGGCTTTTATTAGGATGTTGCTAAAATGGAAATATTGCCACATCCTGTCCTCAGGTATGCCACAAGCACAACCATAACTTTGGTGAAAACCCGGGGAGCTGTCTTCAGGCCAAATGCAAGGGCCCGATACTGGAAGTGCTTCCCATTGTAGGTGAACTTCAGGAACCTCTAATTGGCTTCTCAAATGAGGATGTGAAGATAGGCCTCTAAGAGGTTTATGGAGGCCAAGAAGTCTCCCTTCTGAATGAAGATCGCGATCGATCTCAGGGTCTCCATTCTGAATTTCTTCTTCCCTATCTTCCTGTTCAATCATTTGAGGTCCAGGATAGCTGTGATGTTCCCATTTTTCTTTGGGACCAGAAAAAGAATGGCGTAAACCCCCAATGTTCATTGCACCTCGGGCACCAGCTTGATCGCACCGATGTCCAGCAGGTGCTGGATGGCCTGCAAGAGAAGGAGATGCTTCTGCTCGGAACATTTCCTGGGGACCTGAAGAAAATGGTTGCCCGGCATCGTGCTGAATTCTAGCAAATAGCCGTTGGTGACCATGTCCAAAGCCCATTTGTCTGAGATGGAGAGTTCCCATTGAGCTGCAAACTGTCCCAGCTGCCCTCCTGATTCCTGGAGAGACCGAAGATCCTGGATAGTCAGGAGAAGGGAGCCTTCTTGGAACCCTTGTTGTTCTGACCTGTTTTGTTGTAGTTGGCTGCTCTGCTGGAGTTCTGCTGTTTTGGTTGCCACCTACCCTTGAATGGCTTGGAAGGGCTGGCTCCTGAAGGGTCTGGAGATATCTTGGATCCTCAAAATTAATGAAAGCATCTCCAACCTACCATCCTTCCTCCTGGAAGTTAGGGACTTCTTCTTATCTTTGTCTTCCACAAGTATTTATCCATGCCTTCTTCAAACAGGTTGCCTCCCTCGAAAGACACACTTGCTACCTTGGCCTGGGCAGAGGGATCCACCTCCCAGTTCCATAGCCAGGTGGTGCACCTGGCCATGACGCTTGAGGCCATGGCTCTAGCTGACAGCTGTATGGCATCCAAGGAAGCATCAGATGCAAACACTGTGGCCAGGGTGATCTTCTTCAGCTCATCCTTAAGTGCCTTGGGAACATCACTATCTGCTGCTGCTACACCAGAAACCCAGGTATAAGCTGCCCTGGTAAAGAGGGAGCAGGTAGTGGAGGCAGCAGTGTGGAAGTGGCTTCAAAGTCCTTGTGTAGAGCTTGTTCAATTCACTCATCACAAGAATCCCCAGGGAAACCATCGGATTCCAGTGGGAGGACAGAAGTGGAACACTGGACACAGGATCGTCTACTAGAGGAATCTTAGATTTCTTAGCTGCCTCGGGAACTAAAGAATAAAACGTAGGAATAATATTGTGGTTAGCCTTTGGCTTGGCAGGGGCTTTCCACTCTGAGTTGACCATATCATTAAACATAGCAGAAAAAGGAACCCCGGAAGGGGCTTCCCCCAGCCTTGGGCAGAGCTCAGAAGGGGCCATCTGGAACATTTGGGTTTGGTTCCGCCTTTTCTTTGGTGCCGTGAGGGATTTCAAGGGCCTGCAACACCTCAGGCAACAGCTTGCTATAGAATTCCTGAGGAAAAAGTTGTGTCTGCATGGGGGGGTTCTTCCTCCTAGGAGAGCTCTCCTCCCTCCTTAGTGGAGGAAGCATCTGAGACT